GCTCAGCTTTGCACGTTTGCTAATCTTCACGAATTTGCGTGTCATCCTTGCGCAGGGGCCGTGCTAATCTTCTCTGTATCGTTCCAATTTTAGTATATGTGCTGCCGAAGCGAGCACACGTTTGCTAATCTAACCTGAGGAACAGGAACCCAGTGCGGTTTCCGTTCACATCTCCCAACGCGTGTGAGGTCAGACACCCCTTTAAGGATCCACCCTTTCCGGTCAGTTCACGTCCTTCACCCATCGTTCTATCTGGCTTCTGATCCTTCCCCCTCAATGTTCCAGTCCTTTACGTGTTAGAGAAATCCACCTTTATCTGCAATGTGCGCTGCAAACACCATCTCCTGATGCGAGCATTCTGCATCCCGTGAAGGCCTCCCTTCCCCTCACCTGACTTCTGAACCTGAGTGAGAAAGCCCTCCCACACCCAGGTTCGGAGAGACTACCCGTGTTTTCTTCTAGGGCTGGCTTGGTTTCATTTTTTACATTCAGATTTCTGATATGAGTCCTTTTTGGTGGGTGATGTAAGGTATATGTCGAATTTTACCTTTTTCTAAATGGCTGTCCAGTTGAACCAACACCAACTTTGAAAAAATCCATGTTGGCCCCAGTGCTCTGAGACAGGCCTCCTCTCACACACTCTGTCCTGACGCACCTGGCCGGGCTCTGCGCTCCCTCCTGCCTCCTGCACCAGCAGGACACTGTCGTGATCACGGAGGCCACAGGGGCCCTCACGGCCCCCTTTCCAGGGCTGCCTTTGCTGTCCTATCACGTTGACTTTCCCTGTAAACTTGAGTATTGACTGGTCTAGTTCCAGAAAACAGCCTGTTGGTATTTTTATTGGGATCATCTTAGACTTAAAATTAATTTAGGCAAAACAGACACCTTATAAGGTTGACTCTTCCTAAGAACAAGGATTTTTTTTCCACGGATTTGTGTCTACTTTTGTGTCTTTCATGAGTGTCTTAAAGTTTTATCTCATCTAGGTCTTGCATATATCTTGTTTATTCCTAACTATTTAATCTTTTTTTTGTTAAGAAATGAAATTATTTATTTATTTTTGCTGTGTTGGGTCTTCGTTTCTGTGTGAGGGCTTTCTCTAGTTGTGGCAAGCGGGGGCCACTCTTCATCGCGGTGCACGGGCCTCTCACTATTGCGGCCTCTCTTGTTGCAGAGCACGGGCTCCAGACGCGCAGGCTCAGTAGTTGTGGCTCACGGGCCTACTTGCTCCGCGGCATGTGGGATCCTCCCAGACCAGGGCTCGAACCCATGTCCCCTGCATTAGCAGGCAGATTCTCAACCACTGCGCCACCAGGGAAGCCCCCTAAGTATTTAATCTTTATTGCCATTGTAAATTGGATTTTTCTCTTCCATTCTATCTTTTTTTAAAATAAATTTATTTTATTTTTATTTATTTATTATTTTTGGCTGTGTTGGGTCTCTGTTGTGGTGCGCGGGCTTCTCATTGCAGTGGCTTCTCTTGTTGCGGAGCAGGGCTCTAGACGCACGGGCTTCAGTAGATGCGGCACGTGGGAACTTCCGGGACCAGGGCTCAAACTCGTGTCTCCTGCATTGGCAGGCTGATTCTCAACCACTGCGCCACCAGGGAAGCCCCCCATTCTATCTTCTGATTATCATTTGCGGGAATGAAGGCTATTGGTTCCTGGGAAGCAGGCTGCCTGCCCGGCCCGTGTCTGTGGTGGGCAGTGCAGGTGGCACAGCTTAGGTGGACGTGAGGAAGCAAACACTCAGCTAACGGCAGCCAATCACCACCCAGCAAGTGATTTACAACTGGGCACGGCGTATGCCAATGCCTGGCGGCTCTCCCTCTCCCTGGGGTCCCATAAGCTTCTCCTTGACCGTGATGGGCACAGTGACCTTGCTAATAGCTCTTTCTCCAGGCAATGTCTGCATAAGTGTACAAGTAGCTTCAGTTTAGTTCAGAACGACAAAGAACTCTCCAGAATGTGAAAGTAACCAGCTGCTCTGCCGTCGGCATGGGATTTGAAAAAGACCATTTGTAAAGGTAATTTGTGTAGCATTTGTCGCAAGAAGATCTTAGCTTTTAACGCATTCTAAGGATGGCTCGTCACGTAGATAGGGATGTGTGTGAATTCTACAAACGTGGGTTTTAGGGGAGCCCCCAGACGCCCTAACGACAGGGAGGGAGAAATCAAAGGAGAAGAAACTGAGGCAAACAGCAAACACGCTCTTCACACAACATTTAACCCCGCCTGCAGCACCGACGCTCTCCTCTCGGCTCTTCCAGGGCATCTACTCACCTCGTACAGCAAACTGATTGCTGTTCTTACAGCCTTTCAGTGAAATAAAGCAAACGAATGAACATTTATCTGGGGAACGTTGACACCAGACCAAGTAGAAAAGTCAGACTAGTCTCCCTCTCACCACCTTCCCCAAACACACCACGTCTCACAACATTTGCAAAGGTGAGTAAATGTCCACGGTCCTCATTCTCAAGCTTAAAACTTGGAAAACTACGAACATTTCAGGAACTCATTTCAGAACCTACCTTTCAGATTTGGTCATAGCATTACTGCCAAGAATGAATGGGGAAGCCGGATTAAAGATACATTTAAAAACACCCCCGATCACTTTTAACATGAATGACCTGCAAACACTGACCTGGGGCTGACGGGCTGATCGTGTCTGTCCTTCCCAGGATCCTGGGCCCAGTTTCCGGCAAGAACTAAGGTCCTACCTAGTCCACCAGCTCTCAGTTCTCGGGAGGCCCTCTAGTGACACCTTGTGGGCACTTCTGATACCGCAGCCGCGCACCACCTCGGCCGGGGGACCAGTCACCGGACACTGGGCAGGCAGCCTGGCCCCTCGCCCTGCTCGGAACTGAGAGGCAGGACCGCAGCCTCGGCAGGGAGGGCGCGGCCGCACGTGGGTGAAGACCCCAGCCAGTGGGAGAAAACGCTCAGCTGCTCCCTGGCTCTCCCTCGCCACGAGCCAGACCCTCTCCAGAGACGCGATGGACTCCCTGAAAAGGCCGACCTGACGTCCACTCGTCCAGTAGGGCAGTGGTGGGCCCACTGCCGGGCACCGAGGCCTAGACAGAGCCTGCACACCTGGAGAGCCCTGTGCCTCGGGGCACCTGTTAGAGTGCCTGTTAGCCTCGCCCCATCCCACCTGAGGCTGCCATTTGTAGGTGAAGAAACTACAGCCAACGTTACACAACGTGCTCAAGGTCACCCATCAAGTGGCCGAGCCACGACCTCATCATCCCACGTCTTGCAAACATTTCCACTGAAGCGCCCCAGCAGCTAAGGAAGTGAGCCCTTCCCGCCCGACGGGTGACCACAAACCACAGGACTTCCTGCCAAGCCTTCTCTCAAAAATGCATGCAAACTTGTGACACTCAGAGGAATTCTCTGAACTTTCTCATGTTAGCACTCTCTACGAAAATTTAAAATACACTTGTGGCTTCCCGGTCCCTCGGCCACGCCCACTGACGCCCTTAAACTCCTCGAATGGGCAATTCTCAGAAAATGCTTAACTTTACTAATGTAAGACGTACCCATTTAAAGCACCACGTTTTCATCACATTAAGAAAAAACGAAGCCAATGAAACAGCTGATGAGGGTGTGCGGAAACTGATGGAGAGGAAGCTGGCATGACTTCCGGACGGCAACTTGGCACCTTCCACCAAACTCTGAAACACGTCCCCTCCCGCACAGCAAGGCCGTCCAGGAAACCCTCTCTGAGCAGCCGGGCAGAGGAGCGATGACACGCCCAGGTCCTGAGAGACCACGCAGCAGCCGTAAGGATGCCTGTGACCTTGACTGCTTTCCTGACCTTTCACCCTCTGCGCCACTTCAGTGTCTATTCACACAGGTCCTTAAGGAAAATACGAACTTCTCAGAAAGCTCTTAAATACACTTAAATGCTCCAATCGCAGTTAAGAAACACGAGTGGACTCCCAAGTTGATAATTCCTGATAAAACGTGCACGTCTTTTGTCCTTTAGTTTGGATGATCAAGAATGGCGCTAAAAAGTATGACGTCAGCCCCGCTTTTTTTTTTTTTTTTTGCGGTACGCGGGCGTCTCACTGCCGTGGCCTCTCCCGTTGCGGAGCACAGACTCCGGACGCGCAGGCTCAGCGGCCATGGCTCACGGGCCCAGCCGCTCCGCGGCATGTGGGATCTTCCCGGACTGGGGCACGAACCCGTGTCCCCCGCATCGGCAGGCGGACTCTCAACCACTGCGCCACCAGGGAAGGCCCCATCTACCTACTTTTAAAACTTCTAGTACCCACAATTAAAAAACAAAACAAAACCAGGTAAAACTCGCTTTAATGTTTTATTTAATCCATCATATCCAAAATACTATTTCGACCTGTAAATATTTTTAACAATGAGATATTTCACTTTTTTTTGGGCATTGACTTCAAAACCCAGTGTCTCAATTTGGACATTAACCTTACTTGAGAAAGACCTGATCTGTACTTAGATTTTATAAAATTTACAGCTGAAAAACCAGATTCACATATTCATGTTCTTGACATACTCAACACGGTTTCCTAATGACTGAATGAAGGTGACAGCTCTGCGGCTACGCTGGACGCTGGCTCCACGTGCTCCCTAGCGGCCACTGGCCGCTGCACTGGCCCTGGACCGCAGAAAGGGCTCCGTCCACGTAGTCCCCAGACCCACAGCGTCAGGAACTCCGCTGGGGTGGGGTGGGGGGCAGTGGCACTGCTCTACCAGGCCCCGCACGATTCTGGTGCACCTGGACAACCACGGGTCCAGATCTAACGCCACCAACAGGACAGGGCGTAGAAAGAGCTGGATAACCCACCCGTGGGATGGGAACTGAATACACCCCCCAACCACTATATATATATATATATATATATATATGTAAAACATCGTTATTGGAGTATGATTGCTTTACAATGGTGTGTTAGCTGCTGCCATACAACAAACTGAATCAGCTAGGTGTATACATATAGCCCCATATCCCCTCCCTCTTGCACGTCGCTCCCACCCTCCCTATCCCACCCCTCTAGCTGGTCACAACCATTATATTTTGAGGCTATGAAAGCAAACAAGGAAGAGAAACTGCTTGGATTTTTGTTAATCCGCAAGCAGTGGGATGTCTGGAGCGCATGGCTGGGTGCCCCGGGGCTATGCCTGGGATGGCATTTCTCTTCATCCGGTTCCCTGAGGTCCCAGGAGATGACGGCGCTCCTGACAGGCCCCAAAGCCCTCGGTGTCGCCCCAATGCTTGCAGTCAGAGGGTCACAGGCTGTTCTCTCAGTCGAACAGGAGCGGTGGGCTGGGGGCCACCTCTGGACAAGGACCCCTAACAGGGTAGGTGCAGTCCCGCCCCCGTGCCTGAGCTAGATGCCGCGTGAGGAAGACACAGTGAGATCCACTGTCGGTGGTTTAAGTGACAGAAGCCCCTGACCAGCTCAGCTCAGGGCAGAGCTGCTCGCGGTGGGAAGTATGGAAGTGCTAGAGCATAAAAGTATCCACAAAGTGCAAATCATGTACAGAAAGAGGCCAGTTTGAACAGATACAGTCACATCAACGCTTTACTCTCCACCTGAAAGAGAAGAAAACAGCTTATGTTCTTAGGTTTGTCTTGATTAACTACAAGCGGGTGATCGTACAAAAGACATTCGCCAATCACAGTGCTTCAGAAACCAGCTACAAAGTGTTACTCTCGTCACCCTGTGCTGGTGCGGGCGGGACCTGCGTGCGCACCCGGGGTTGACAAAGCCCAAGGCCGGGCGTGCGTCCCGCTCCATCCCATCCAGCTGTGACGGAGCGTGGAGCTCCAGGTGGCCAGTCATGAGCCGTACCACAACCGCTGAGCACTCACCGGCGGGACAGAGAACCGCCCCGCCCGACACAAGGGCAGCAACACCGCGCGCCCCCGACCAGTACCTGAAGCGCCGAGCCAGCCAGCCGCCCGGCCCCTCGCGTGAAGCCCCCGACGGCCCAGGTTCCGAGTCCCTTGCTGCCAAGCACCTGCGCAGAAGGGTCAGGTCAGAGCTCAGCCAACCCCTCACCGGTGCCGAGAGCCACGCACGCAGGGATGAGGTCACCCCCCAGCCCGGCTCGGGCACAGACACCACGAGAAACGGCCGAGTGGAAGTGACAGGTGACTCGGGCTTCCATTTCTACCCACGGAAGGTGGGGGCAGACCTTTCCACCGACCTGAGGAAGGTTCTCCCTGTAAATAACCGGTGAAGGGGCTGAACTGCCCCCATCAGAAGGTGGGGTGGAGTCCGACACCCAGGACCTATTTGGAGGGAGGGTCGCTGGAGGTTAGGGAGGGTGAGCTCACAGTGCGCTGACCCCACAGACCAGTGTCCTCATGCAGAGGGGACGCTTGGACAGCACCGTGCACAGGGAGAACGCCACAGGAAGGTGGAAGGCCAGGGTGACGCATCCACAAGCCAGAGAACCCCGAGCCTACGGGAAGCACCCTCGCGAGGAGGAGGCCGGGGGAGACCCTCCCCATGGCCCCGCACGGTGAGCAGGCACTTCTGGCTCCAGAACTGCAGTCCCAGCAAACGACGACTAGAATCCGCCTTCGATTTGGAATCCGCTTTTAATTAAGATCACATCCACCCAAACCCCTACAGCGAATGCTCAACACCAAGCGCTGAGCGCGCAGCACGGGTCCAGGTTGTCCCAACGCCATGCAGGCCGAGCCGGGCCTCTCCTCACCCCGCCGTGCTGGCAGCGGGGCCTCCGCGGGTGCAGCCGTGGTCCTGAGGGTGTCTGTGCTGAATGCAGAAGCTGCCGCGACACTCGGCGCAAGCCACCCGCAGCATCTCTTTCCGCCTGCAGCCCTCTTTCGAGCAGCGGTACGTGAAAATCTGAGAAAGTACAAGTTGCTTCAATGTTCCAGCAGCCTCACCGAGCAATCATTCGACAAGCCCCCGCCCCCCCATAAGACCATCGGCATTTAAACTAGAAACGGTCCTTAGCTAAACAGAATGAAGAATGAAGGCACCGGGGTTTCACTGAGATGTCTTTCCGTCAGGTAAACAAGGAAATACTAGTTTAGGAGACAGAAAAGTTTTAACAAGTGGTAAATACAAAAGCAGCATTTTAAGTTGGGGTCTCATGTGAGATGCTTGGGGGGGTACTCCAGGAAAAGAACAAGACGGGGGGAAGGAGGCCAGGCACGAGGCGTGACGCACAGCCCTAGAGGGAGCTGGCACAGGCTGTGTCCCGTCAGGGGCAGGGGAGCTGGCAGAGCCGTTAGTTACTGCGGGGTCTTTGGGGTGATATAAACTCCCAGGCACTTCCGACTCTGTGCGGGTGACAGTGTCAGGGAGGAGGGGGGCCGGCAGCCTGGGCGCAGCCCTCTGGCCAAGAAGGGCGTGTGACCCGGGTGCGTGCCAGCGGGGCCCGGAAGACGAGGAGGGGCAGCGCGCGGTGGGGAGTGAGGGTGGAGCCAGGAGGGAGGAGGGCCTGGTCACCGAAGCTTCCGGAAGGCTCGGAGGCACGGCAAGCACGAGCAGCAGCAACGGGCTGGAGGAGACGGGTCAGGAAGGGGTGGGGGGGTGGTGGGGGCTCCCATCAGAGGGTCTGGGGTGGAAGTTCAGGGACAGACTTCACCCTCTCCTGTTCCAGGTTATTTGTCATAATTGCATTTGTTCTGTATTTAGTGTAACATATAGAAACCGTGAGGTAAGGTGGTCAGAAGCCAGTGCCCTGGAGATAAGCTCTAAAGGCCAAGACAGCAGGGGGCAGCGCAGCCCGCATCCTAGGGAAACCACCCAAATAAACCCGGAGGCCCCAGGGAGCGTGCAGTGCTGGGCTGGGCCTGGGGACGCGTGCAGGGCTCCGAGAGTCTCCAGTCCGAGGAGTGGACCAGCTGCCACGGGCCATGTCCAACCCGAGTCTCCTTGGACTCTAGTTGAGGATGGAGAAGTGACCACAGGTGGCGGCTCCGATGCTGCCTGAAGTTCTATAAAAGTGACCACAAAGAGATGTTCTGAAAAAGGATGGATGAACCCCAAAGGGCAAAAGAAAAAAGAAAACAGCCACAAGATTTTAATTTCTTTTTTTTTTTTTTTTTTGCCTGTGCCACGCGGCATGCGGGATCTTAGTTCCCTGACCAGGGGATAGAGCCCCCTGCAGTGGAAGCGCAGAGTCTTAACCACTGGACCGCCAGGGAAGCCCAAAACAGCCACAAGATTTTAGAAAAAGCACGTGGACGAGCAGTAATGGACTCAGCATACATGAAAAAGCTGAACTATGAGCCGGCAGGGAGGGTCAAGAAGCAGCGTATGTGTGACACAGAATCCCCAAAGGCTCAGAAATCGACAGCAGCAGAGGCAGCGCGGGTGACGCGGGGCCCGGGAGGAGGCCGCGCGTCTGGGAGGACCCCTGCCCGCACGGCAGAGCTGCTCTGTCCCCGGAGCACGCGCGCGGTCAGCTGCGGACCTGGCACATGGGGACGACTGACCACGACGTAGGAAAGACCACCTGCACGTGGGTCACACAGAGAAAATGGAACTTGAGGGGAAAAAGGAGGCCGGCCCGGGAGGTCCAGCCCCATGGAGCGAGAGTCCAGAGGAGACGGCGACAGCGTCAGCCAGGCGGAAGCTGCCACACCCGGGGACAAGGAGGACAGCTGGCCCCTCACGGGAACTCCCTGAGCAGCAGCAGAAGCGGGAAAACCCCCGACGCCAGCGAACACCCAGGCGAGCCGCAGCGAGGGTGCCGCAGCGAGGGCGCCGGAGCCCAGCGGCCGGCGCACCGCGGGGACCGGGCGTCACCCAGCACTACAGGGTGAACGAGACAAACGCGAGCTGGATTTCAATGCTCTGCTTAAGTACGTGGTACCACGTATTTAAGGAGAGGCAGGTGGCCGCTCCTTCCACCACAGCCGACTCCAAACAGACAGACGCGGGACTTCAGAACGAGCACCAAGACGACCAGAGCAGGAACGCCCATGTTTGATTTTTACATCCCTGACATTTCCCAGGCGGAGCTTGGGAGAAACCACACACTAACAGAAGGATTCTAGAAAACCACATTAACCTTCCATCTTGGGAGGAATTCCTGTAACGAAAGCAAGTCCTAACATAGGCCCTAACGTTTAGGAAATATGCTCATATGACTGTAAAAACCCACCCTGTTCACAACCCAGGAAAACACTGATCAACTGTTAGGGTTTTATTCTGTACAAAAACTATTAAAACTAATTAGCCTCGTTGGATAACTGACCTTCTTTCCTCTGAGGAGAAACCAGCCCCCAGAGGGCTGACACAGACTCTGTCCTCACCTTCTCTTTCTTCTTCCCGGGGTGGTGTTTACAAGCTCCATCCATGTGCTCACCGACCACCACGTCTGGGACCTCTCCCGTTTTTACTGGGATGGGGCTGTTACAAAGTGGGCACACTGGGACCTGAACATCCTAAAAATAACAAATATAAGATGATATTCCAGATTCAGACAATCAAACCTCACACACACACACAAAGGCACAGTGGTACAGCACACTGAAAAGCAAACAGAGTACAAACACTGACATCTGCCCCCCACGAGAGGAGAGTGTGGTTGGCACAGGGGATCGGCAGCAAGGCATCCCTAGGGCTTGAAGACAGTTGCCTGAAGCGGAACCCAGGAGAACTGAAGAAACAAGACTATTAACCACCCGCAGAAATGACCCTGAAACAGAGGTCAAGTGCAGCCCCCGAAGGCAGCTGGTGAACCGATCCAGAAGGACAGTCTCAGGGCGGCAGGGCTATCTGTCCAGCACCGTGTAGTGAGCAGTGAAGCTGCCCAAACACCTCGAGGGTGGGGCTGCCAGGAAGAAACACCAGCCGTGAAGAGCCTCAGCTCCTTCGCCGGCCAACGGCCTCCCCGATGCTCCTTGTAGCTTCCGCCGCGGCCACGCAGGCAGACTAGCTCATCAGTCAAGGGCGCACGTGGCCAGGCTGAGCTCTCAGGCTCAGAACCACCATCCAAGCCCAGCACTGGGGGGCTCTGGAGGGAATGCCCAGCAGGAGGAACGCCTTCCCTCTCGGCCAGGGCAGGAGCTGAGCTAATTTAGCTCAAGAACACTGAAGTGACATGTGGACGAGTAACAGGTAATCACAGAATCGCAATGCCAGCTGTCTGGGAACTGAGCTGGAAAGCCACCCAGGGGTACTCCTGCAGCTGGCAAGTTGGCCAAGTTAAGAAATAAAGCATCATTCAGTCACCTCTAGGCAGACTCTCCCTATCCAGGGACACAGGAAGGTCAAGGCAACAGACCAGGTAGTTTGGCCTGGTCATCGGTGCCGGGTGAACATGAGTCACCCTCCCCCGCCCCCATGAATCAGCAAAGGGCCAGACCCCAGCCGACACTGGTCAAAGGGTGTAGCACTGTCACCCGCACTTCTAACTGCCACCCTGGGGAAGCAGCAGAGCGCTGACTGAAGAGCTCACGAAAATGCTCCCTGAAGCACCCAAAACAAAGTGAGTTCAGGCTGGGACCACCTGAAAAGTCAATAACCACGGTCTTAAACCTCTGGACTTAGGCAAGTCTGTTTCCTTACAGCCATCTTCCAGCTTCCACCATGAACTGTCTGAATCACCCAGGGAGGATGCCAAGGCTGCAAAGTTACCCAGACAAGCAAGCATTTACAATTCTGCCCAGCTCAGGGCCCCCATCAAGCGCTGCACTGCGTTTCTTGTGCCCCGTGAAGACAGAGCTGTTTTTCCTTGCGTGTTGAATAAAAGGAACTGTTTTAACATGTAAAGTAAGCTCGGAAGGTTTAGGTACAACAATTTGATTCCAGGAAAATAATCTGTTGCTTTAGAGCTGTGCCGTCCAGAGCTTCCTGCAACGACGGAAAAGCTCCACATCTGCTCTGTCCACACACGGCTCCCGAAAACCTGAAACGTGGCTGGCGTCACTGAGAAACAGGACTTTTAAGATTTATTTAATTTTAATTAGGTTTTATCTACATGTGGCTAGTGTCCACTATCTTGGGCAGCGCAGCTTTGGAGAGCGAGGATGAGAATCTTTAGAATGAAGTACGACCAATTACCTTCTTGAATGCAAAGGGACACTTATGTGCAGCATAGGTAAAATGATCTTTACAGAAATCTTGTTTACATGCATCACATTCTAATGGAAGAAAATCTAAAAAAAAAAAGAACAAAAAACACACAAAAAACAGTAAAGTGTTTGAAAGACTAGAACAGAAGAATCATAGATCATATTAAACAGGTATTTACCTTTGCTGAGTTCATATTATGCCTATCAAATACATCCTCGAGGTACCACATGAGAAAAAAATTGGGGGCCATGAATTTGACAATGCCAGCAACACTGAAGAACCGGCATAGCTATCCTTTCCAAAGAGACCCCACCTCACGGGGTACCACGTATTTAAGCAGAGCATTTAAATCCACTCGGTGCTGGCAGCCAGCCTTGTACCTAGCTGTACAGAACCAAAAACTCAGGCCAGCATCTCATTACTGAAAAGCCGGAAAGGCCAAGGCCCAAGAACAACAGCTAATGAAGACAGTGGCCAGTTCTTCTCCCAAATAGATGACGAGACACCCATTTCCCATTAACGCTCTCCTAGAAGTGCTTACCTAGCTGCTTGCAAGTTTTTTCTGAACAATGCTTCCCCAAATCAGGGAACTCCATTATGAGAAAATGTCCAAAACACAGATGACAGAGTGAAATGTCACCTGCAAGAATTAGAAATAATTAGAAGGAAAGCAAGGATGGTCCGAATTTCAGTCACCAGGGTTTATATCGCACAGCTGATATAAGTAAACATGTAGGGAGCATTAAATGCCCAAGTCATCTGGGCTCCCGCAGGGGCCTAAGTGTCACAAATTCTTGTCTTTCAGCGAACAGAAAATGGGAGGTTTAGCGTAAGTACAAGCTCCTTCAGAATCAAACCCCTTCGCAGACAGATTTCTTTTCAGTTCTTTTAATTCCTAGTTTATCAAGCTCAACCCGAATTTAAGTTTTCATTAATCCATATTTTGACCCATATTGACAGGGATGTCCCATATTCAACTACACAGCTACTAGGGAAAGTTACAGCCTCGGTGAACTTTAAATCGCAATTTCATCTACTGAATATACTTGACAAACAGAACTCTGTTACCAGGTGCTAAGTCACGTTACTTAGCTACACTATCCCAGGGACACTCGACTCAGTCCCCTGTTGCTGTCTTTAACTCCCTTATGCATTGAGTTTTACTCAGAATTTATTCCTTAATGACAGTCAACCTGGAGTTGACCAGGGGAAGGGGAAGTCGTTAACTCACCAGTGGAAAACAGGTGGACAAACGGGGATGCCACTGCACTTGAGAGAAAACTGAAGTCCACGGCACGCCTCACAGGGGCCCCTCCGTGATCTGGCACCCACCAAACCTCTCAAAACTCTTGTCCCTCCCAGAATTCACGTCCCCGGGGCCTTTTCCGGACCTGCCCATCAGCTCTCCCGCTGCCGGGAGGCCTGGGATACTCTGGCCACAGCTGACATCCGCTCATGCCCTCAGGGCCCGGTTTAAAGCGTCGCTCGGGGCCTTTCCTAACACCCTCACCTGGCCCCACCCAAATCGCGTTTCCTCTACTCTGTAATTCCTTTCCCAGGACCCACTCGCTCGGCTTCCCACTGCGGCTTCGTTCCCTACTCTCGGCTCCGCGAAGCGCAGGGCCCAGGTCGGGTCTGCCCATCCTGGATCAGCAACACCCAGCGGACGTTCGGGAATCAATCGATCGAGGACCGACGAGAAGCCGAACTCAATCCCGACGTGGTCGCGCTCTCGGCGCCGCAGCCGCGGTGTGAGAGCCCCGTTCTGCTAGGACACTAACGCCCTGCCAGTCCGAGGTTCGCGGCCCCGTCCGAGCCCCGCCCGGCACCCCCAGGCCGACCCCGTACCTGGCCCTCGTCTGAGGCCTGGGCAGCCGCAGAGGGGAGCGGAAGGTGGCAGAGACCAAGAGCTGTCTCCCTGTCCGCGGTCAGCCGCGGGGGACAAGGCCAAAGGGACGAAGAAAACAGGATCCGAGCGACGGCCGAGGTCGGTCCGAGTCCGCGGGAGAACCCAGCATCGCGCCGCCAGGACCTCCCGGCCATTTATTCGCAGCCGCCGTCTCAGAGAGCCACGCCCTCCGGGCGTCCCCGGCGCGCCCCCGACGACGTCTCCGGCGAGCCGACCAATCGCGCCCTCCGCAGCCAGGCATTCCCGGCGCGCCCCTAGACGTCACCGCTAGGCCGACCAATCGCGCCCTCCGCGGCCCCGTCGGCCCGCCCACTCCTCGCCTCTTCTCGAACAGTCTGGCGGCTTCTCGGGCTGAGGAGTCAGGGCGAGGCAACTCTGCGCAGGCGCACTGGGCCGGCACCCGGAGTGGGGCGCTGAGTCAGGGCGGGCTGGGCCGGGGTGCGGGGGGAGGATACCGCGCGCTGGGCGCCACGGAGGCTGGGGGCGCGGGCGGCCGGTACCCGGCGCGAGGCTCCGCTGGAAGTGCGTCCAGCCGGCTCACGCACACAGGCACTGATTTTGCAGTTACAGATGAACTTTAGCGGGTGGGCAGGCTCACGGATGTGGAAGCCACAGCCATGAAGGATCGACTGTGTGTGTGTACGTGTATGTGCGCATTTTCCTTACCCTTGTTCTGGACCACGTGAGAGCGTGGCGTGGACATGATGCCCCATCACCTCCCCCCCTGCCGCCCCCAATACTCCCTACGTGACCACTCCAGCCACCCGGCACGGAAATCAGTGGTGACACTACGTTAAGGTCCGACCCGCAGACCCCGTTTAGGTTTCTGCCAACCGTGTCGTCGATGTCTCTTTCCTCTGTGCTCCAGGAGCCCGTCACCAGTTACCCGTTCAGTGTCTTCCTGTCCCCGACAGTTTTTATTAAAGATCACAGACTTTCATTCATATAACGTGACTCTCAGGCAGTGTACATCCACGTTTCCTCAGGAGCAGACTCGGGTCATACTTTCTTGGTGGTTACATCACAGAAATGGTACTGCGCTCATCGCCGGCCCAGGATTGCAACCCCTCCTAGCATGGGTGACGTTAATCTTGACATCGTCATCCCGATGTTTGCTAAGTTTCTCCACTTTTTCATTTGTGAATTAATTAGTATCTCGTAGGGAGAGATTCCAAGATTCCACCATTGTTATTCTTCATGAACCTCTGACAACCTTGACTCTGTCAGTCGCTTCTGCCTGGATCACTATGATCACTATGCTTTTAAAAATTTCCATCATTTCCTCTACATTTATTAGTTGGCGTTCCGCTATAAGGGAATGATTTGCCTTCCCCATTTATTTTTTAACCCTGACTTTATAACCCGAAGAACCAGAATTCACACCCAGCATCAGGGAAGGTCAGGAGAAGGTGTGAGAGCGGACACCCCGGGGGTGTCACAGGCAAGCGCTTGGCCCACCTCTGTTGTTCCTGATGCAGCCAAGATGACACCAAACTGTCGTGAGAGCAAAAGACCATCAGTCAGAATTTTTAAATGCAGTGTTTTTGTCATTAACTGAACATCTGCCTTCATACAAAGAGAGATGCCCAAAGCGTGAAGTTAGGTGGCCACCATCCACCTAAGTAATTTACCACATCACGATAAAGGGGAGCAAGGACCTTGTACCACTGTGACCCGGGGGACGGGAGGGGAGGCGGACCTCGGAGCCTTAGTTAGCAAACCTCAGGAAGTTCTACTTGAGAGAAGAGGCCAGAGTGCGTGTCCAGACACGTGATTCTCTATCAAGAGACCACAATGCCCTTCACCAACAGCTCACTGTTGTGATCCCTGTTTTACCTGCAAGGAGACTGAGGCACAGAGGTGACAAGGGACACGCCCAAGAGGAGCCAGGATTCAGACCCCACCCCAAGTCCACATTCCTAACTCCCCTCTGCTACCTTCACCAGCCAGGGGTGGGGATGGAGACGCAGCCAGGTGCCAGGTCATAGGACCCAGAGTGTCATGAAAAGATTCGGGGCTTTATTTTGAGTGCAAAGGGGTATTGCCGAAAAGCTTTAAGCATGACCTTGAGGGGTGGGCAGGAGACTATGTATAAAGTACACATACTTTACACAGCTGAACGAAAAATAATTGCAACTTTCTCAGTTTTCTAAAATTGAGCTCCACTTTCCTTTGGAGCCCCAGACGCCTGCCGCCGGCAGACACGGGCCCTGTCCCGTCACCAGTCTGTTCAGATCCGGTTCCTTTGGTGACCCTGGTCACTGACCAGCTCAAACCGTAGTCATTTCAAGCCTTCTTCCTACAATCCCTCGTTCCCGTCTCCTTCCGCGGCGCCTGGGCTCGGAGGTGCGCATATAACCCCGTGGCAGTGAAGGGTGGAGGCTCTGGCCTCTGCAGGTGATGCCCTGTCCACAGCCTTTGGTCAGGTGCTAGCACCTGCTGCCGGTGTCAGGACTTCCGTCGTGACCTCTGATCCCAAGCTCATCACGTGCACTGTCCTGACCCCCGGTTTCAGGTCCAGTGACCCTGTCCGCCCTCCATGCCAGGGCACGCGGGGCTGGGGAGCTCCTCTAGCTTGTGTGCGGGGACTGCGGCTCTGGGGCACCAGCTGAGGTCCTCTCCCTGCCTGGCTGTGCCCCAGGCATCATCCACTGAACCCTCCCTGTGCTGGCACAGAGAAGGTGTGTGCCTCTCCCAGAGGTACAGGTGGGAGCCCCACGCCTTCAGAGCACCCCGTCCAAGCCCAGGTTGTTTATCATTGCAAGTCCCACATCTGAGGGCTGCAGGATGAGCCGGGGTCCATTCTTAGGGACCCAGGCAGCATGACAAGCTTGGCGTCTCCCTTTCAAAGCCCATCAGATCTCTCCCCAGCCCTGGAAGTAATGTTCTCCTTATGCTGCGGGGCATTTCTCTCACATCATCGCCTTGGGTTTCTTGCTCTAAGGGTGAATCTCACAAACTTCGGTTCATGGTTCCCTTTCCTCTCTCTTGAAAGCCTTGCTTCTAAGATTAAGGCTTGCTATGAGCTCTTAAAAGTTTAGGTTTAAAACTCAAATCTGAGCAATGACTTCTTTGGTCTAGATGGACCCTTCCGTGGAGCCATGAGTGTCACTGCAGGGCCTAGCCTTTTTTGTGTTTTTTAAAATTATTTATTTATTTATTTGGTTGTACTGGGTCTTTAGTTGCGGCTCGCGGGCTCCTTAGTTGTGGCGTGCGAACTCTTAGTTGCAGCATGCATGTGGGATCTAGTTCCCTGACCAGGGATTGAACCCAAGCTCCCTGCATTGGGAGCGTGTAGCCTTAACCAATGAGCCACCAGGGAAGTCCCAGGGCCTAGTCTTGATGGAGAAGAGAAAACACATTGACGTTATACTGGCTGCACACACTGTACTTTAAAACGTGTTCATCCACAGTTTGTGGCAGACAGGCAGATGGGGGAGAGGCCGGAGCAGAAGCTGGGCAAGCAGGTAAGAGGCTGTGGCTGCAGTCCAGGTGACAGAGATGACAGTCACCATGGAAACCATGGAAACACAGAAGCCTTACCCACCTTCACTGCTCCCCTTGTAGGCAGGGCATCAGCGTGTGGTCCAGGGAGAGGGGCTTCTGGGAAAAGATTTCCTTCCTAATAAAAGAGAGACATCCATTAGGACATAGCCCTCTTCTAGAAGAATCTTTTGTGTTGCTTGAAAATAGTGGCCTCCCGTTAACAGGAAGGGCGAAGCTTACGGATCAGGTCCGATAGGGACAGCGGCGCAGAAGGTGGAGAGAACCTGGGCGGCTGGTTACATCGTTGCGCTGACCATCAATTTCCCTGCCTCTGGGCTTCTTGTAACCTGAGACAATTTTTTTTTTGTAGCCGAAGCATTCTTGCTGACACTTGGAAAAAAATGTTTCAGTTTAGGATGTATCGGTATCTGCTATGGGACAAAAGGGGAGAGTTGGCAAATAAGCACATGGATACATGAGTGGAAGTCGGAGAAGAGGTCTGGCCTGGAGAAACAACGTTGGAAATCGACAGCATAAAGATGGCAATTAAATCCATAAGTGCCGAGATCGCCCTGGGAAAGGACACCCGTGGAGGAGGAGAGGGTCCGCCTTAGCAAAATCCAGCGTTTAGAGATCGGAGAAAGACGCGCAGGCCTAGCTGACCGGGAGTGAGAGGAAGGCCTCGTGGAAGCCGAGGGAGGAGAGAGAAGCTGGGAGGGAGCATGGGTCACCTGCCTCCTGCTGCTGGGGGACAGAGGGAAGCCTGCATGTCTGTGTTCTGTGACATGTCGGTCACACGTTGGTCACTGTTGCCTTTAGAGCGGCCCCAGAGGTGGGGCATGAGGCAGGCTGAAGCAGGGTGAGGAGCAGAGGGGACAGAATGGTGTCTGTGGTAAGGAAGCGGGGTACAGGCAGGAGAAGCCATTGTGACTGAAGAAAGGATGAAACCTGTTCCCTGCCCGCCTGCGTGTCCAGCTGCTTAAACAGGCGACTCCCCACTGCCCGTTTCCCCCAGGACTCTCTCTCCTCGGCCTGGACACAGTCAATATTACCCTTATAATTCATATCCTCAACAAATATTTATCGGGTGCCCGCTCTGTGCACAGCACCCTGTTTGGCCTCAGGAAAATATAAGAAAGATTCAGCTGGGTCCCTGTCTCTTCCCGTGAGCTTACAGTCTCAATCTTGGAGGAAAAGAAGACGCCCCTCCTGAAACAATGGGGCGTTAAGTCTAAACACTGTGTTTGTGAGCTTGCAGGCCACAGGCAGTCATCACTGGGACTCAGGGTGACCAGGCTCAGGGCGCGCCTGGAAGAGTGAGGCCAGGTGTCTAGGAAGGGCTCACGGGCGGGGGACTCCTGCTGGCCCTCGGAGGTGGGGTGGTGGGCTGGGGAGGGGAGGGCTGCCCAAGCCAGAGCCGTGTCAGCAGGACTCCTGACTGTAGGTGACGGGAACCCCCTCAAAACAGACTTTCCCCAAAGGGGAGTCTACAGGCTCCTGGCCTCGAGATGTGCTCGGATCCCGGAACTCAGATGGGGCCCTGGACGCCCTCGCATCTGAAAGCCCCTCCACTCTGTGTGGTGGGGACGGAGCTGCCAGCAGGGTGAGCCACTGTCTCCCAGCACCCGTGCCAGAGTCCTAGGGTGGACGCTGACGTGCTTTCGTGGGTCACGTGTG